CAGAAAGCGCCTGTACGGTGCTACAAATGGCTGTAAATGAGAGCCAGCTGCCAAGCCCCTGACATGAAGCCACATGTGGGGGGGGGGAGGCAACAGTGAGAACTTCAGAACCAGGTTGTAGGTATCCCTAGGGACAGTTTTGAACAGTTGCTAAATGACTGGCTATATGTCAAAACTATCTGCATTTCACAACCTTTTATCTAACAAAACATAGTATAAAAAATAAGCAAAAAAAATAAGCTTCATGAGAGTTTTATCATAGTTTTTTAATTAAAAAAAGACTGTACGTACAGGAGAAGGCCTTGCAGCTTCTTTTGTTGTATATTAGATGACCAGGGTGATGTAATGTCAGGAAGGACCCAACTTCAACTCTAACCCTCAACATGGAACCTCAAGGATTTGGGCCATTTATCATTCTTTTAGTATGAGATAGTTACATTACAAGTCAATTTGACTGTTCATAGTTGATGTATTAGAAGAACAAGTATTTTATTGGAAAATAAATATATATTCTCTATCTAAATTATAAGATGATTCTACACAAGGAATATTTTTGTTTGCAAGATAAACATTTGCATATATAAAATTCAAAGAAATAGACAATGAAGAATAATACATATGGAAAATACTTTGTAAATGGTTTTGAAAATGTAAAAGATCGTTTGACTACTCTGACCTGTCTATCATCTTCTTTAATATTTATCTTTAGACTTATTGAGAGAGAAATAAAGATATACACTCTGTCATTTAAATTGTGGAAGAAAATGGCTTTTCTTTCTTTATAATTAAGCATCTTCAGTTCCTGTTCTCTGAAAGCTTTGCTTACTGGAAGCAATGCCTATACAATGTATAGTAAATAGAAAGGCACAGTTGGCAATGGAACCAACAGACCATAAGCTACCATACAGGAATGTATTAGTGCAGTGATGGCGAACCTTTTAGAGACCGAGTGCCCAAACTGCAACCCAAAACCCACTTATGCATCGTCGGGTGCCGGGTGGGTGTGGTCGATTGGCTGGATGTGGCCAATTGGGTGAGTGTGGCCCGTTGGGTGGGCATGGCTGCGGTGGTAACGGCGAACTGGTTGGGACTAAAAAGTTCAATCAATCAATTCCAACTTTGCAAGATCTTTTTTTTCCACGAGAAGTTGAAATTGACTGATTGATTGAACCTTTTTTTTTTTTTTTGGCACACAGCGGCGGAGGCCTAAAGCGAAAAGGTTTTATAAAACCCAGCTGAAGGCCTAGGACTGGGGCGACAGCGCGCGTGCCCACAGAGAGGGCTCTGAGTGCCGCCTCTGGCACCCGTGCCATAGGTTCGCCACCACTGTATTAGTGTAACAATTATACAGTAAGCAATCATCCGTTTTCATCAGAATATGAATCAAATGTAGTTATTTGTATCCTGCAATTTGAACAATTTTAGGTATTGCAGAAAAACCTGTTGCCCATATCATTTCTGTAACATGTCTGTCACATGTAGAAACTGTCTAAACATTCCATAAACTCAAACCCACAAGCTGTATTTTCACCTTTGTCTCATCGTCACATTAACATATTCTCTGCATTAGGACAATTTCCAATTGACACTGAAGGCACCAAGCTTTGAGGTTAGCAATAGGTATAACGTGCTCAATTGCAAGACTGATGCTGACGGGCTACAAAATACAAGGCCAAGTTGAAACACCCACCTGTGCAGTAACTGTGCACAAAAGATCTGTCACCTTTCTTCAGAGAAAGCAATTTCAAATGAAATTGTTATATGCTGTGCCAAGAGTGTGGAAATTATTTTCTACCACAGTTCAATACATTTTGCACAGTTCTGACTGATAGCAAGGCACAATGTTGACACCAATAATGTGCCTTTAAAAGTAAGCCGAACAGCTGTTGTTGTTACTCTTATTATATACACAACAATGTGAAATCACAGCTGCCAGTTCTTTAGGTGGTATTGGCCTTCATACACATCAAGTTCTTCCCAAGAACCTAAAATGCTGTAATGTATCAGGGTACTGTATGTGTAGATCCAAGCATTGTGGCCTTTTGCAATTGACTAATACAAATTTTGTCAGTGCACAGTGCTGTCCAAGAGTTTTTGGTATGGCACCTAGTGCAGGGCTTTTCAACCAGTGGTACGGGTACCACCTGTGGTACATTGGCACCTGGCAGGTGGTACGTGACCATCCTAGAAAAGTAGCGGGGGAGGGGAATGAGCTGAACTGGTGGTAGCACCGCACAAGCCTGAGCGAGAGACGGCTGGAGCTGCAGGGCTGTCAGGGCTCAGTGGAAGCGCCAGGATCAGCGCCAGGCTCCAGCTGGAAAGCAGCACTGATCCTGGCGCTTCTGCTGAGCCCAGAAGAAGCGCCGATCAGCTGGAATGCTGCAGCCTCTCCAGGGTCTTGTGATTTACATTCAGATGTTTGGCAACTGATTCATATTTATGACGGTCACAGTGTCCCAGGGTCATGTGAAGGGACCAAAACCTGCTGCAACCACCCAGCAGACGGGGGGAATAAAAACCAAACACCCCCCACCCCATCCCCACTGCCAATCCTCAACAGAAATGCTCACAACAATGGAAACCTCGGACAGGAGGAAGAGCGTGGCTGGGCGGGTAGGCAGGTGTCTTGCTCGTCTGTGCCTTGGGGGGCACTTTTTTCAGTGCCATTGTAACTTCGAACAGTCACTAAGCAAACTGTTGTAAGTCGAGGACTACCTGTACTTTATCACTTTTGGTCATCACGTTTTTGACACCTTGCTAGGCGACTGGTGGTACTCGGATGTTGCCATATCCTAAAAGTGGTACAATGGGTGAAAAGGTTGAAAAGCCCTGACCTAGTGTACTGTTAGCCACTGGGATCACCAAGATCAGTTTATGCCATAATGTTTCAATTTTGATTTTTAAATCTTGATACTTTGTGATGTTCTCTAATTCTTTGTCTCTATTTTACTATTCCCTGATTTTGCCACATCAATTATCCACACTTTTTAATTTTCAACCACTCATGGTATATGAAGTCAAGATCTGTATTTGGAAATTCCACAATATTTTAACTTGCTCATTTTCAATTATGTTTTCAACTATATGTTCCCACCAATTTTTCATTACTGGCACATATTTTTTATGGATGTTCCAGTGAATCATTTTGGTGACTGTGTTATGTTGTTGTTTATAAACGTTTTGTGCAACCTTTTTGCACAAACTGAGTATATGATATACTATTTTTTTTACTTCTTCGCACAATCAGCACTTTGAATCATTTCATCATTTTTCAATTTTGGCCTAATTGAATTAGTTTAATTAGATTGCTCTTGATAAACAAAATCAAGCCTCCAGTTCCTTTTTTTAATGTTATAGTTGTAAGCTATTGCTAGGTTTTATTTTTATCTACTTTACCCTCTATCTCTTCTAGAGATTGACCATGTAGTATTTTTCCTTGCCAAAATTTCCTTTAATTTCCTAATAATTTTTTCAGTTATATTTGAATTTGGACAATTTTTCCCCACAATTCAAACATTTGCTTGAATAGCCTCACTTTGTTGGTTCCAATTTGTAATAGCAACCCATAATGGCACAATTTTCAAACACAACATAGTTATATCTTATCTGTAGTTGTGGTTCTTCTAGTAATCCTAGAGGACTCGGCCCTGGTTGCCCAGCGAAACTCCTGAACTCTAACATTTGACATGGTCCTTGCTGACCTGGACAACAAATGATCTGATACAGGATTCTTTTTCTGTATTCTCACTATAGTAAATGGGTTGATGGTTCTTACTGTTGCTTACACAGTCAGTCAGCTGTTTAAGATGGATTTAGTATTTTTATCCACTTATTACATCCTTCCCAAGGACCTGGGATAAGCAGATATATTGCTTGATGGTGGTAAAGATATTGTTGCAGGATGTAAGCTGCCTTTTGCAACTGAGTAATGGTGATTTTGTTGATGTTGATGGTATTCAAGTAATCATCTAGATGTTTTGGGATTGCACCCAAGGCACTTATTACTATGGGTACTATCTTTGCTTTCTTTTTCCATAGTCATTCTAATTTTATTTCCAGGTCTTTACATTTTGTGTTTTTTCCCCCTCCAGTTCCTTCTTTTCTATTCTGCTGTCTCCAGGTACTGCAATGTCCACTATCCAGACTTTTTTGTCTTTCTTATTGACAACTGTTAAGTCTGGGCTGTTATGTAGCAGATGCTTTTTCTGTTGATGGGAAATGGCTTCCAATTTTAATTGTAATCCTAAATGTCTAGAAAAAAATTATCTAATAATTTAAATCAATGGTGATAGAGAAACTTGGCAACTTTCTTGCATTAGAATCTTATTCCAATTTTTGTGTGTGTATTATTATTATTGTTGTTGTTGTTGTTGTTGCTGCTCACACAGTCAGCCAGATGTTTAGACTGAAATTGGCATTTTTATCCACCTATTAAGTCCTTTCCAAGGACCTGGGAAAGGCAGATGTTGTTTGATGGTGTTAAATTATTATTATTGTATTAGTGCATGTCATTATCATATTTATTTTCTTCCCATTCCCTAGACAATATTTTAAATGGAGAAGCAAAATATTCTAAGGTATTACAAAGAATAAGATACGTGACTTACTGAAGTTTTCAAGTTTTCAATTTTTATATATAGACATATATAAAATTTGCATTAATAAGGAAAGGTGCTTTTTTCAGGCATTAAGAGTAAAATGCCTTGATTCAGAGATTACCATATAAACCAAATATTGGGTTCAAACATTGCACCAAAATATAAATCAAGCAAATTATATTATGATTTAGTATAATACACGACCCCATTCAATCTCTATAATTACAGTTTCTAAACAACAAGTACTGCAATGGCAGATATTTTTCCTCCTAATTTTCTGCCAAACTTGGCCTTTCATAATAACTTTTCTTCCGAATTAAGTATTTAATTTAAGAAATTAATTTTAAGAAATAAAACAAGGGAATATACAGTGATGCTAAAAATCTTCTCACCACTTCTTACCAAGGTCCATGCTCTTGGAGGTCTTCAGGTTAATTGATTCTGTCTGTTTGGCCAGGGTCAGAGATCTGAAGTTGATGGGCTGATCTGGCAAAAAAGTCTCTGAATCTCCTACTCTGCTGCTGAAAGAAAGAAACCATACCAAGCATGTGGGGTGAAGATCAGATGTAGTAATTAAACTCTATACAATATGATGCATTTTCTCTCCTCAGCTATTATAAGTCATTTGAGGGGGTTTTTTGCATGACTTATTGCTTACATTAAATCTAAATTTACTTTGGGTAACTATCATCCAACCCAAAGGTATAGGTTTTTACCTTTTCTGCTCACTTTATCATTATTTCAGTACTAATAAGGCATATTAAAGTTTAACAAAGTGCATTAATTTAAGTATTAAAAGTGTACTATCATCTAATACATTTATCATCAGGTTCTTAATTTGTTTCCAATTAGATAAAATTCCTAGCTGCTCTTTAATAGGCCCATGCTTATGATTAAAAGAGTGAATATGCAGTTAAGAAGCAGGGAAATCAAGACCTAACTTAATTATTTCTCCTTTCAATTGAAAAGATCAAAGGCATAGTCCAATGTCCTGTAAACATGAATCTTTTCGCAGAATCCCTCTCTCTTTAGCTCTGCTTCCAAATTTTGTCCAAAAAAGGCACTCCAATTCTGTCTCAGCAGATTTGGAGGGCTAATAAAGAACTGTGATGGGGAAGGGAACTGTGATGGGGAACTCTTTTGATTCTGCTAATTTCCATCACTGGAACTATTAGATTCCAGCCCCCTATTTGGTCCATGATTGTTTTAGATCTAAATCTAAAATTAAATTTAAAAATAATACGGTATTCTGAAAATTACATATTTCCAAAGATTTCCCTACCAAAATTTCACTGAAATTTGTGAATTATATGAATTACATGGACACACATTCTGTCTCAAAGAAGCACTGCAAGTCTCTTCTGAGGGAAGAGGAAAACTGTATAAAAACTGGACATTTTGAAATATCTTTCTAATTAGAAATGCCGAACATTGCGATAGGGAGAACTCTGGTGAGAAATTGTACATGTATACAGGCTTCCCAGTCCTTCCAATCTTATCAGGTTTGCAACATAACCAATTTTTTAACCAGCTTCCAATTCTATTCAGAATGTTGGTAAAGAATCTCCTATCAGAGTGGAAAATAAGATAGGAAAGTGGAAATTGCTCTAAAAAGGGACAGTTCCATTTAATGAAATTGCAAATCCCCTATGAACATAAGAACGCCTCCCCTCCATCCCAGTATGCAATGAAATATAAAACTGCAAAATGCCCCCAAATGAAATTTTTTATAAGAAGAAATAATTACTAGTAGTAAAACCATTATTACAGTAAGCAATTCAATTGATATATTTGTTGGATTTAAACTTTGAAGATTTAACAATTCAGTTTTGACTGGCCTCAGTTTCTTCCTACCCAATGGGGATAATGGTATCTAAACTCAGTGAGTGTAAGAAAAACAAATCATAATATATTTGGAAGATGAAGAAGGCTGAATATCAGAGCATATGTTATGGTGCAAATGAACTGTAAAGCAAAACTATTTTTCACATAACATGAAAGAGACTCATTGCTATCACTAGACATGAAATCAAAAATAGTAAACATCTTCAGACCTATGATTATAATCTGTGAATAGCTTCTCACTAGGATGTGGAGGCAACGGGGGTGGGACTTCATTTTCAGCTGTGCCGCTTTCAAACTCTGAAATTAAAGGGGGAAAAATAAACAATGATAGAAGCAAATATTTGTCTGCTGGCCAAAGAACTGAACTGGCATGCTGCATATCTCTTGAAGTAGTGGCAATTTTATACAAATCTTCAAACTAGCTAAACTAGAATTAAAAATACACCAAGCAAAAAATATTTCCCCCTTAGGATTTTCAACAGACCTGATTTCTGTTTGCTCATGTATAATTAAAGATAAACATATTGAAATTCATCTTATGATGAAAAATGAAAGTCCTATGTTGATTTTAGTAATTTCACTGGATATTCTCTTTCCCATATCTAAGCTTGAGCTAAGACTTAAATAAAACACTCAAAAGGGTGCATGGATGCTGTATCAACTATGCTGCCATATAGTTAAGCTGTGATTCAATTTTGTTACTCACAAATTGTTATGTATTAGAAAACAAATAAATAATATATATCTAAAAAAATGGATAATGACAGCATACTCAGTTTTCATTATCTGTAACATTCTTAATCCGAATCTTGGCTTAATGTATCAACCATGTGCAAAATTACTCCCTCATGTTGTTGCTGTCTGAAACATACATGACATGCATATTTTTCCCAAGGTAAGAGAAAAACCATTTGCAAGTTAAGAGAAGAAAAGCATAATGAATTCTATATTGACCTTCTATCCCATTGAGAGTTGGGAATCTTATTAACTAATAGATGCTTTTAATGCGGGAAGTACTTGGGGGGAGGAGAGAAGAAATTAATATCATCCACAAACTCTTATTATCTTCATCTAGAAGCTTTAAGAGATAAAATAATGAAGTCTGACCTTCTGGAACAAATTATGAAAGAATGAGTAACTGAATTTTTTATTATAGCCCAAAGCCAGCAACTTACAGCAGCCTATGGACATTGAAATGTCCAAATAATAAACAGATAACTATTTAATCATGGAAAATTTGGTTTACCAGTTGTGCTGGCAACCCTTACATGCAGCTGCACAAAATTTTGCTACCTTCTAAGTTCCAGCAGACCATCTGTCTGCAAGTAAAAGGGTAAGCAGGAATTCATTAGTGCAATTGGGAAGCGTGCTAACAGGGTTGCAATACAATTACTGGGTATATCCCTACAAAATTTGAGAATAACAGGACATACTTTGGAAGGTATGCTTCCAATAGTTTTTTTTTTTTAATCTGCCTTTCTGCAGAGCAAATGCAAGGACAGTAAACTGCATTTGCAGTGGTTAAGCTACATGCTTCTGAGCTAACTTAAGGAAATACAGACCCCATTCTAGTTGTAGGAGAAAGGGTTCAAATGGCCTTTGTTTTAATTTTAAAACAATCTAGTTTTAAAAAGTGTAGTGGCTAGTAGCTGGGGAGGAGTGAACAAACACATTGTGGGACTAAGGGTGGCACAATACATCAAGCTTGACCCAACTATGCTACTCCAACCACAGAAAAGCATGGGTCACCAGAGGTGAGGATACAAAACTGGCTGGGACATTCAGGATGCTTAAACAAACACTCAGGCCAAATCTAAGTATCCCTCCCAACTCTATCAAAAAGCAGCCTCTGCTCCAGCTAGTCAACTAGAAAAAAAGGGCTTTATTCCCACAAGTGATATTTCTCACTACTCTGGCCTTTATAAAATACAGGGTTTTGTTTGAACATTAATGTATCAGAAATGTGAAATAATTTGGCGTGCATTTATTATAACCTTTTCTGTGAATACCATGAAATGTTATTTTTTTATTTGAAACATTTATTACAATTTTTGTTAAAGATGAAGGAGGGATATTTTGCTGTGACACTTTAAAATGTGAAGTTCTACAAATGGGTCTTTTTTTTCTTGTGAAAAATGATAGCGGACACAACAATAGAAAGAATGGTAGGGAAAATAAGATATATTGTTCAGGCAAATAGGATTCCCTGCATGCATAAATAATCTGAATCAATGACATCCGGGAACATAACTTTACTCTGATAAAACTGTAGCTGGAAAAAGCTGTGCATATAAAATACAGTCTATCTGTAATGGTCTTAATTTGATAGATTAATCAATTTTGATAGTTGATTAATCAGTGGAGAACAAATTTAATTAGTAGTGCAACACAATAAAAGTTCAGTTGTTTATTTTGTTAAAGTTATACTATTTCAATTCTCATACATATGATTGTAGTAATGAATGAAGAAGAAAAATTATCCATTTTAAATAGAAATTCCAAACTTCCCATGCTTATGGCACTCTAATCCAAATCTTATCAGGCAATAATATGTGAAAATAATTGGCATACTCAGGAAGATTTGCAGATATGAAGAAAACAAGACAAATACATAAATAAATAAAAACCCACAAAAACTTTTAAAAGTAAAATGGATCTGAATGAACTCCTCCCCCCAGCAACTACATACAGATAAGTCCTTAACTTATGACTGTAATTGAGTCTCAAATTATGGTCGTAAGTTCTTGTGGTTGTTAAGTGGATCACCACATGATCAGAACCAACTTTACAACATTTCTTGTGGTAGCTGTTAAGCGAACATGGCAGTCGTTAAGCGAGTGCAACAATTGTTAAGCAAATCCATTATACCATTTTCGCCAGAAATAGAAGTAGATGCCAGAAATCAGCAAAAATTGATGAAAACTGCAATCATGTGTCTGTGGGACACTGCAAATGGTCGTAAAAGTGAGCCAGTTGCCAAGTGCCCAAAATGTGATCACATGACTATGGGAAGGGGCATGGCCATCATAACTTCAAAATCAGGTCATAAGTACCTTAAGTCAAGGGCTATGTTTAATAACTCAGTTGCATAGCATGTTCATTGAGATGGGGGGAGGGATAGGCACACTCCAGGTTGCTTCTCTCAAATTTGGTCATCTAGTAAGATATAGGAAACATGCCTTCATAGTAGTGGTCTTGGCCGTGTGGAAATATTTTATGTTTTGAGATCTGGCAGGCTCCTAACTCTTGTAGACTTTTGGAAGGCTTTAAAAAGCTGGCTTTCCCCCCAGAAAGGGGTAGGGTGAGACTGGACTTTTTAAGCATAGTTATAAGATTAAAAAGTGTTCTTATCACTGTTGTCTTGAGCTGCCCGGAACTATGGCTCATAAAATGGGCTGCTGTACATATGTCCTCCTCGATTTAGGAACTAGAATTTGGGACCAGAACTTCTATCGCTAAGTGAGGCAGTTGTTAAATGACTTCCCCACCTGATTATACAACTTTTTCTGCCATAGTTGTTAAGAGAATCACTGAATAAATTACATGATTTTGCTTGTCAGAATCTGGCTGGGAAGGTCACAAATGGTGATTGTATGACCCTGGGATGCTGCAACTGTCATAAATACATGCTGGTTGCCAAGCTCCTGAATTTTGACCATGTGATCATGGGGACACTGTGATAGTCGGGAAGTGTAAGTCACTTTTCTCAGCATCATTATAACTTTGAACGGTTGCTAATGAAAGTTGAGGATCACCTTATGACTAATCTTAACATCCAGTCTCTAAAATATCATAAAGCCTTTAGATACGACACATCAAAACCAGGCCCATAGACTACCCAAACCAACAACATAACTGAAAGTTGATAACTACATGATGGACAAGAAAACTGTCAATAAAAATAATAAAAATATATTGGTCTAAATGGCACCGAGTGGGACCTGGGCAAATACTTTAAGACAGTGATATAAAAGTGCCCGCCTAGAGCAATAGAAAAATTAAAGCGTTATTGCCAATTTAGGGGAATTTTGAACAATATAATCCAGGTGGGCCCTAAGCTTACCAGATGAGTAAAACCCTAACCCTTACATTATTTCTGTAAATAGAACGTAAGAATAACCCAAGACTGATGAAAAATTGCACAGGACCACTCTACCACACTTGAGCAATTTGATGCACGATACCACTTTGATGCAATGGGCCTTTTCTTTTTAGAACGCACAGCAGTACTTTTAAAGGTAAATTGTAAATGATCTTATTTTGAATTCACTTTTAAACCTGCTTTTTGAGATAGTTAGGCAAATGTTTACCTGCTTTAACATCACAAAGACCAGTTATAATGATTGTAATCTATATGGTAGAGGTTACTCATGGATTAATGTGTTAAGTGAAGATAATTTAAAAGATGCTTATCTGACTATCCTCTTTCAAATTACAAATAAATTACAATAAAGAGAGAGAATATATATATATATATATGTAGGTCTTTGGTCATTCGGGTTCTCTCCCGCGTAAAATTGGAAGTATCCTGGCAACGTTTCGACGAAGTCACATTCGTCATCTTCAGGCTGGTGTCTTCAGCTTCCTGCTTCTGGGAGTAGTGTGTGTGATCGCAGCTGTTTCTTCCTTTTAACTGCCAGTATACAGTTTTAACTGCCAGTATACCCCAAAATACAGTTCACCATGGAAACAGAAGCTAATAACCAACTCCCCTTCCTGGATGTCCTAGTCTACAAGAAATCCAATGGCTCCCTAGGACACACCATCTACCAGAAGAAAACACACACAAACTGCTATCTGCACGCACTCTCACACCATCATCCAGCACAGATCAACTCCGTAGCCAAGACACTCATCTCCAGAACAAAACGCTTAGCTGATGAACAACACCTAAAAACCGAACTACACACTCTCACTAATGTACTAACATCCAACGGATTCCAAAGAAATAAGATTACCAACCTAATCCAAAAAGAAACCCCCACCAAAATCCAAGACAGAGAACAAGAAAACGGCAAAG